TTCCGTATTCAGGGGGAGGGATGGAAGGACGTAGAGTCGAAGGGAGGTAGGGTTGGAGGGAGGCAGCGGGAGGGAGGGGGAGGGCGGGGGGTGGGGGGGTGGGGGGTGGGGGAGGGCGTGTCAAGGTGGTAGTTCGGAACGCATGCAAGTTGTTGGGAACAGTTGCCATTGAGGTAGCGACGATTGGCCCAACGTTGGCTTTCTTGGGAAAACGCCTGGACAGAGGCGGCCACAAGAGAGGGGGGGATGTACAGGGGGGGGAGGGAGCGAGGACAGAGAAGACGGAGGGGCGAGAAAACAGGGTTAGGGGGAAGAGGGAGGAGGAGGTATAGGAGGGTGGGTAGGGGGGAGAGGGGGAAGGGGAGGGGGGTAAAGGCCGTACATGCTGGTGTGCTTGGAAGTGTAGTGGCCGCAACAGTTGGTCTCTGGCATGCTTGGTGGTCGATACCAGCCAAACGTCGGTCGCACCGACCGCACGCAAAAAAATGGCAGCAGAGGCCACCTTTGGCTGCAACACAGGGGGGGGGGGGGGTTGGGGTTGGTTGCGTTCATTCGGTATCCATCGGCACGACGGCAGGGGGCGCGGGTGCGGCGGCAGCGGGCACGGGCACATGTTCAGGTGCAGGCGCGGCTGTAGTAACAGCGGCGACAGGCGCGGGAGGGACAGGCACAGCCCCGGTGACCGCCGATGTCGGGACGGCATCGCCAGTGGGAGCGGGGACGGCCGGTGGTGGCTGGCCCGGCACCGAGGCAGGCGCCTTGACCGGAACGGAGACGGACGTGACGACCGGCTTGGTCTCGTTGTTGCTGGCGTTGGTGTTGGAGTCGGAGACGACGTCGTCGTCGTCCGAGTCGACGTACTCGGGCTTGATGTTGGTGCGGTCGAGGACAGGCGGGTCAGGCCGGGCCGGGTCGGGCGTGTGCAGCTTGGCCCACCAGTTGTTGGGCGACGAGTTGAACCGCGGGACGGCGGCGGCGAGCGCGCCGCGGCGGTAGAGCCAGTCCTCGGTTCCGCAGAGGTAGACCATTTTGTACGAGTCAAAGTCGATCTTAGCGGCAAGACCGTGCTGGATGACGAGCTCAGGGTCGTCGAGCGAGCGCGAGGTGACCAGGTTGCGCGGGAGGAAGATGTTGTGGGCGCGGACGTCGATGTGCGGGTTGACTGTCGGCTGGATAAAGGTCCGCATGTACTCGGACCACTTGGCGAGCATGGCCGAGGCCTCGGGCGGCGAGGCGGGCGACGACGAGAAGACCGGCATGGTGCCAGGCGAGTCTTCTGGAATGACCCAGACCAGGAGCGAGCGCGAGCCGCGGGCGTACTGCGAGACCTTGAGCCTGAACGTGGTCATCTCGGGCATCATGAGCAGGGCCGAGACGCGGTACGACGAGTCGGTGTTCCGGGTCCGCCCGTTCTCGTAGTTGTACAGCGCCATGAGCCGCGCGCAGAGATCGTCGCCAACGACCGAGTTGATCATCTTGGTCATTTGTGTGAGAATGCGGTCCATGGTGAAAAGCTGGTACGAGTCGGGGCCAAGCACGTCGTTGAGCGTGTTCTCAAACCGGCTCGTCGAGACCTTGGACGCCTGGTACAACTTGACAAAGTTGAGAACGGCGGCAAAGACCGAGCCGCCGGCCGCGGCCACATCCATCGCTTCGAGCGCTGTGTCGCTCCGCTTGGCGTACGTCGGGTCGAGCATCGCCGCCGCCTTGTTGAACGGCTTACGGAAAGCCTGGGCGCCCGCCGCGTCATACTTGCCCTGCGCCACGACCGCAAGCTCGCGAACCTTGGCGATGCGCGAGGTGAGAAGCGCAAACAGCTGGAGAACTACAAAGTAGATCTCGTTGCCAAAGAACGGCGGCTGCGGCGCCGTAGATGTCGACCGCATCTGCGCCACCTCCTCCTCGGCCGCGTCGATCTTGGCTGCAGCCTCGGCGACGGCCGCCGCCACAGGCGGCGGGAGGCCCTCGGCAATCGACCCGGCTGTCGGCCCGTTTGCGGCCGCCGCCGCAGGTGCAGGCGCCCCAGCCGCGGCGGCTGCTGCTGCCGCCGTCGCTGCCGACGCTGCAGCCCCGCTCGGCGTGTGCTTGCGCGCCAGCGCTTTGCGGATCTGTGCAAAGTGCTCGTCGATGACAGACGTCTCCACCGGCACGCCCAGGAACTTGGCAAGCCAGCCCACAATAAACAGCCGCATCTTCTGCACCACCTTGTCTGTCGCCATCGACCGCGTGAGGCAGAACAGCAGCAGCCGGTACGCCTCCTGGATCTCGGCTGTCGACTCGATCGTCGACGTAAAATGCACCGCCGTGGCCTTGCCCTGGACCTTCAGTTGGTCTTGCTGGAAATCGTGAGAAGTTGGGAGAGGAGGTGAGTGGAGGCAGAAACAGGCGAGGAGGGGAGGGGGGG